ATCCCACAACATTCTTGCACGGAAGCTAAGGAAGTATGGGCTAGATGAGTGGACTGTAAGGTGGATAGAAAAGTGGCTGGAGCATTGGGTTCAGAGTGGAGTAATCAATGACTCGATATCTATGTGGCAGCTGGTATCAAGTGGAGTGCCCCAGGGGTCTGTCCTGGGGCTGGTTTTGTTCAGTGTCTTCATCAGCAACGAGGAAGATGGGATGGAGTGCACCCTCAGCAAGTCTGCAGATGACACCAAGTTGGGGGAAGTAGTAGATATGCTGGAGGGTAGGGCTAGGATTCAGAGACACCTAGACAAATTGCAGATTGGGCCAAAAAAAATCTCATGAGTTTCAATAAGGACAAGTACAAAGTCCTGCACTTAGGCCAGAACAGTCCCATGCATCAGTACAGGCTGGGGGCTGACTGGCTGGGCAGCAGCTCTGAAGAAAAGGACCTGGGGGTTACAATGGACAATAAGCTGAATATAAGCCAACATTATGCCCTTGTTGCTAAGAAGGCTAGTGGCATACTGGGCTGCGTTAGTAGGTGTGTTGCCAGTAAGTCAAGGGAAATGCTTATTCCTGTCTATTCAGCATGTGTGAGACCACATCTGGAATACTGTGTCTAGTTTTGCCCCTCCGCCCCCTCCCCCCCCCACACACACACAAAGGATGTGGACAAATTGAAGAGACTCCAGTGGAGGGCAACAAAAATGGTGAGGGGGCTGGGGGACATGACTTACAAGGAGAGACTAAGGGAACTGGTTTTATTTAATTTGGAGAAGAGAAGACTGAGAGGGGATTTAATAGCAGCCTATCTGAAGGAGGGTTCCAAAGAGGATGGAGCTCAACTGTTCTCAATGGTGGCAGATGACAGAACAAGGAGCAATGGTCTCAAGTTGCAGCAAGGGAGGTTTAGGTTGGATATTAGGAAAAAACTTTCACACTAGGAGGGTGGTGAAGCACTGGGACAGGTTACCCAGAGAGGTTGTGGAAGCTCCATCCTTGGAGGTTTCCAAGACCCAGCTAGAGAAAGCTTTGGCTGGGATGATCTAGTTGGGGATGGTCCCACTCTGAGCAGGCAGTTAGACTAGATAACAGCCTGAGGTCCCTTCCAACCCTAACTTTCTATGATTCTATGATAAGCCTATCAAAAGAGATGGGGTATTGAATGACTTAACTGCTGACTTCCTTGCAATCTAGTAGCCCTAGTTCAAAAGGTTTTTTGGTGGAAGGGATTATTCCTACATTTACAGTTTTATTCATCCCTCAGATATATGATGCATCTGTGGATATCTTTAAAATGTTCACAAAACCTCTCAGATAAGTGTTGTATATATAAATAGTGCCTGAGGAGAGGATCGAGTCCCTAATGTACTATGGCAGTCATCTTAATGTATTCAGTCTTTTGAGATTATCAATATTCATTTCTTCTCAGGACTGCTTCCTGTTTGGCTTCTTGCATCTATTAATAGAAATGTCTCACAAGTATTAACAGATTCCTTTCTCTTACTTGTCAATATGTGACTTGCTGATAGGAGTCTAAAGAAAGGGAAGCTTAGTGATCCAAACTCAGATTGACATAACTAGGAGCCTTGGAACCATAGAGTCATGTCTTGGCAGGTGTGACTCTGTTTTTCTTTTCTCCAAGACAAATACATTTAACACCACCAGTTCATTCTCTAGGGTCTTTTGGACCATGCTGTAGAATTGGGGTCCAACAAACTCTGCATGGACATTACAGAAACAGTGGAACTTCAGGTTTTTCCCTGCATCTCAGCTGTCTGTCTGGCTTCTCCTCTGCATGTCATAGTGACCACATTTCACTGATACTGCATGTCATATTTCAATGTTATTGCAGAGGCTTTTGAACCTTTCAGGACAAACGATGTTGTATTCATGTAAAAATCATTTCATTTCTTTCATTTTTTTTAGTACTTAGCCAGTAATTTTGTTTTTTCCAGCTGCATTTACCATGATCGGCACTTCCACCCATTTATCTGATCAGTGCTCACAGTTTGCCATCCCATCATTCTGCCACTTTGTATTTCCGCTGTGTGATGAGCGCTCTCGGACCCCTAAACCAAGGGAGCTGTGTCGGGATGAATGTGAAGTTTTGGAAAACGATCTCTGTAGGCAGGAGTATAACATCGCGAGGTCGAATCCCCGTATTTTGATGCAGCTACAACTACCTAAGTGTGAGGACCTGCCACTACCAGAGACAATAGAGGGTGCCAACTGTATAAGAATTGGGATCCCTGTGGAAAGGCTCAACAGATGTAAGCTTTGATGTTTCAAGCCTTGAACTCTTTTATCTTTTTCTTTTTCTGTTTTTCTACCACTGACAAGATTTTGGTTTGAGATGGTGCTTCCTCTGATACCATATGTAAGACTTACAGCCATACTGAGTGCTTTCATAAAAGAGATGTCATGCCTTCTGTAAAGCACAAGCTTGCCCCATCATAGAACATACAGGATGATAGGGAGCTTTAAATAATTTAAGCATGAAAGGTTTTGAATGGAGAACTCTGGAAAATAAAGACCTGTACACACAGGGCAGATTTACCAGCGGCAACAGTGCAATTCAGACTTTCTTCATGTTACTGTCAGTGTACTGCAACTGAGAGAAGCGTGTGCTTCAGAAGGACCACAAGGAGACACACAAGACTAAAGATAGTCATGTCCTTATACCATACTTACAATATTTAGGAAAAAAGTGTATAACTAGACCTCTAGCTTGACAATGTGGAAAGGAGGCAGCCATGAATAGGACAGCAGCAGAAATAAGACCAAAAAGAAAAGAGACTGAGTAAAAATAAAAGCAGATATAAAGCAGATACAAATTGGCAGGGGGAGAAAACAGAAGAGAAGACTGAAATAACTGAAACAAAAGAAGGTACAAAATAAAGGAAAGAGGAAGATATTAAAAGATAGTAATATTGATTCTCCTGGGAAGGAAGGAGAGGCCTGCATCTGAAAGGATGGGAAGTGAATAAGACATTAGTGGGTGATGTGAAGTTTATATTGTGGTTATTTAAACAGGCATTTCTAGGCTTCCAGATCTGTTTTGCTGCATCCAGACGAGCGTGGCTGTACAGTATGTGGTGCCGCAGAAAAGTCTGCACCACAAGGTAGCAGCATGCCAAAAAAAAAGCGGAGCAGTGCACACAGGGGCAGCATGCGCCACTCAAAACTGGAGCCTGGCCAGCCAGAGCCACACTTCAGCTGCCAGCTAGGCTCTGAGCAGCAGGATCGCCACTGCTGCAGCCCCAGGAGGCCCCCAGAAACCCAGGTAAGGCTGCTGAAGCCAGCACAGTGCTGGCCGCAGCCTCCCCTACCCCACCCAGAGTAACCTGCTGTGCACCAAAATGTGCTTGGCACAGGCATTCCCCAGGGACAACTAGCAGCAGCAAAAGGTGTCCAACTGCTAGTTGTCCCTGGAGAACCAAATGTCCACAGTTGTGTGGATGTGGCCTTTGGGATGAACAGAGGAAGCTGATTCCTCTGAATTATGCTTTGTTGTATTTATGAAGGCTCAGCCTGCTTTGCACCAAGTCATATTCAGATATACCAAGTCATTTGAATTGAAGCCACAAGCGTGACACATTTGAGGCTGGATATCAAAAGCGTTTAGGTACCTAAAGATGTCAGTGGCCACCTAAACAGAGTTTTAAAAGGACCAAGACATCTCTGTTATCACTATTTTAAATCCTAAAATGGGTTGTTCCATGCTCATCCAAGGAACGTAGTTTGAAGACCTTACCAATTTGCTTCCACTTTTTTTTTTTTTTTTTTTTTTTTTTTAATTTTTTTGTGAA